AATAATAAAAATAGCACCAGTCACTTAAAATTTACAATCTTTTTTGCCAGGGTTACTTACAAATGCGTTGTCTGTTTCCCTGGGATTAACAGGGAGCAAAGGGAGAGCCGGGAGTGACCATTGCTGCAGATGGATCGCTTTTATCTGCACCAAGAAGTCCCCGTGGGCCCAAAGGCATCAAGGTTGTCCTTTCGCCCTCTAACTATCTATTGCACACATTCTAGTTGCCTCAATTCAACTTATCTGGAGTAGCATGACCTGATTTACTGAGACTCTACACATGTAGTCTCTACTTTAAAACTCATTCACTCCCAAAGACGTTTTTAAACGTCTTTTCAGACTTGGTCTAAAATTGGCTGGTACTGAATGAATTTGAAGCAATATCTTTGTCATTCGGAGGGTGAGAGGGCCCAAATAAATAAAAGGATCCCTCAGGAAAATATGAGAGCCAAATCAATCATTTTTGTCCGCATTCTCTTTTCTTTTGGCAGGGTGCCCGTGGATCGCCTGGGCCTGCAGGACCCATGGTAAGTCCATCCAAACGGACACAACTAATATTAAACGACATTTATTTTTGTGAGGGAAAGCTGCACACACACGGTAAGCCGTATGTCTTTATTTTGGTTTTAGACATCAGAAGCGGCGCTTCAATGTTGCTCGATTTCTCATGAGAAACAAAGATACAAAGACGACTGTTGGAGATGGTGTGTTGCTTTTATCTTTTGTTTAGGGCCCACATGGACCTCCCGGGCAAAAGGGAGAATATGGCTTCCCCGGCCGCGCCGTACGTATTCCGTAGCTGATGGATGTTGGATTTTAAAACACAGCTTTCCGTTTGTACACCCCCAAAAAATGTTTGTTCTCTTTTGACAGGGAAGACCTGGTATGGCTGGTAGGAAAGGGGAAAAAGGAGATTCTGTTGGCATGCCGGTAAACGACAGCAGTCTGTTTTTACACCTTTAAGCAATCTTAATTGTACACGAGTATATCAAGCTGCCAATTCAGATCAGTTTCGGAGGTGTTTCCATTTCCAATTACATTTGCAAAACGGAAAACCGATCATCCATTGGGTTGTGCCTTTGACACGATGTCCATCTCATATTCTCAGGGACCCCCCGGTCCACCCGGTGCGCCCGGACTGCCAGGAAGAATTTTTGGATTGAATGGAGTAAGTGTGCATCTTTGAGTCGTTGGGGTTTTTTTTTTATATTCTTGATGGACTAGGAAGATCCAAATGTCAACGTTAGAGGCATCGGGAACTGTTCATTCGACCGACTCAAACAAGATCTCGTCTTTGTCATTTCACACTTGATGCTAGTTGTGGAGTTGTTGTCTATTTACCGAGAGTCAAATGTTCTCGGGTTTCTTGAAATGTTGACATGAGTGACATGAGTAGATGAACACTGCAGACACATCGGTATTTCCAGTGGAAGAACCGATGGGTTGTCCCTTTGACACGATGTCAATCTCATATTCTCAGGGACCCCCCGGTCCACCCGGTGCGCCCGGACTGCCAGGAAGAATTATTGGATTGAATGGAGTAAGTGTGCATCTTTGAGTTGTTGGGTTTTTTTTTTTTTTTTATATTCTTGATGGACTAGAAAGATCCAAATGTCAACGTTAGAGGCATCGGGAACTGTTCATTCGACCGACTCAAACCAGATCTCGTCTTTGTCATTTCACATTTGGTGCTAGTTGTGGAGTTGTTGCCTATTTACCGGGAGTCAAATGTTCTCGAGTTTCTTGAAATGTTGACATGAGTGACATTAGTAGTTGAACACTGCAGACACATCGGTATTTCCAGTGGAATCTCTGAGCTCAAACACTGTTCAGCGATGTTGGCCTCGCAGTGATTTGTTGGTCTTTCAAAGCCAGTTCTATTCCGAATCCAACGACAAACTAGAAACCATCAGTTCCGGTGTGATACCCTTGCCATCACGATATCCGTTAAGTGTGCAGCGTTGAACAAATTGCAAGTTTCGCTTTTTGCATCTTTACAAGTCAATCAGGCCATTTTTACACCCAAATTTCGAACTTTCTTCTTCGTCCTCACCCATTTTGCGAAAATGGTCGTTCCTTTCTTTCCGCTTCAATATTTTGTTCCGTTTTGCGAGTCGTGCCGAGTGATGAATCCATGACTCAAAGCTGATAACGTGCTCTTTTTTTAAAGACAGTGTTCCCAGTGCGCCCCAGGCCGCATTGCAAAAAGGGACTCGTAAGTCTGAGGCGTACCATCTCATTGGTCCGTTTCGTTTTGAAATGGGGTGCCATCCGATGGTTCTGTCGGGGAGTGGAGAGAGCAGCATGGCAGCTCTGTGGCCACCCTTTATTATCTGACCCACACCCCCTTTCCTCCAAACTTCCTTTCCTGACCTCATCTTCCTTATTGCATTTATGAGACTCCATTTTGGTGGTGTTGGGTGCGTGGGGAAACATTCTAACAACGATTCTTCATATTCTCCTGGGGGGGATATAAACTTGCCTTACTAAATTGGATCATTAACAAGTTTGTTCAAATAATGTGAAACCTTTACGGAATTTTCTTCTTCAAATATATCTCATCTAAAATGAGCCACGGTGTGTAATTTTTCTTTTTTTTTTTTTTTTTTTTTTTTGTTCTCAAATTAAAACCGCTTTCGTTACTATGAGGACCGGTGGCAGCGCCAGATTGAGCACGTGACCAACACTGCCCGTTGTTGTTGCTGTGATTTTCTTGGCATATTTTGGGATTTTTTTGGACCCCTTTAGTGAGTTAGAAACTCCCTGCATTACAAGCCTGCTCACAGACACATTTGAAGGAATGGGCAGATAGCAGAATACATCATCATCATTTCAAGTTCATAATATGTCAATTTGGCTGGTCAATGAGAACATCTCATCACTTGGGGGGCTATATTGAAGAATCCCACTCATACAATAATACTATGGACTGAAAATATTGATGGTCACACCGCTAACGACGCTGTGTTTTGAACGTCCTAACCTTTTGTCTGCATAGATCCGGTATTTAACACTCAAGGTATCTCAGGTGTGTCCATGCAGGTAATGACGAGTGTGTTCATTTCCGTGTGTAGGATTCAAATGACAGGGTCAATATCGTAAAAGCGAAAGGAGAAAAAGGAGAGGTCGGGATACCTGGAGAGCCAGGCACACCTGGTAAGAACTTTTCATGTCTCGTTCGTAAACCATTTTTGTTTTGAATTGTCTTTTATTTTATCCGAGCAAACATTTTTTTCATGAATGTGTTATGTTGCTGTTTGTCAGCCGCTGACTTTCTCGATGGACCTGTGGTGAGTACAGATCGATGTGTAATTGATGACGGGCAGCGGAATAAAAAGTTTGACACACATCAAGCTTCTTTTTCCTGGCTGATGTCTGTTTGTTTTTGTGGGTTGCGAAGGGTGCGAAGGGTGAGCGGGGATCCAAAGGCCAGAAGGGAGAAAAGGGTGACTCGGGCCCGCCCGGCCCTCCAGGACTACCGGGGCGGTCAGGACTTGTGGTGAGTTCTGCTGACGAAGCGCAAAGCTACCCAATAAGTCTTTTCTTCCTCTTTTGTGGGCTTCTTGGGTGTTGCCCCAATTTCCTGTTGGGCCTCTTTAAATGTATACTGAAAAGTGAATGTACTCGTTTGTTTGTTCAGGGTCCTAAAGGTGAGTCAGTCATTGGCCTTCCAGGTTCTCCTGGTTCTCCAGGCCAACGTGGAGCCCCTGGGATTGGACGTCCAGGTCCCAGAGGGCCACCCGGCCCGGCCGGACCCCCAGGACCACTGCCTGATTTTGGAGCAGGTGTGTAGCGGCAAAACAGTGCAGAAGATGAAAAAAAATAAAATGCAGTCAAATAAAATAACCTTGAACCTCTTCGGGGGAAGTTGAATGTTGTCTTTGATGAGTGTATTCTATGTTGTCAACAGGTGTGGGTGTCCCAGGACCTCCCGGTCCTCCTGGCCCCCCAGGATTTTCAAACCCGGTAAGAAACATGGTCAGAATTCTTGAAAGTAAACGTGTCCTCTTCTCACACGGACGTGTGTGCTCAGGTAAGCACCCACGAGACAATTTATGCTCTGACCAGAGAGACCCGCCGTGCCCCAGAGGGAACCTTGGCGTACGTATCTGAGAGCGGCGGAGAACTTTACATCAAATCACAGAACGGATGGCGCAAAATTCGGGTGTGTATTGGACCTGCCAGTCAACGGTGTGCCCCAAGTGCGCTCCGCACCTTCCTTTCTCCCCGGGTGCCGCCCCAGTGTGTGAAATGTGACTTGAGTAAGCGCGTGCCTGTTCCCATTTCAGCTTGGAGAGTTGATCCAATCCGAACCGTCATCCTCATCGGCAGCTCAAGCCCAAAACAAACCTGGCGAATGGAGTCGACCGCACAGGAGCCACAGCCAAGTACGCGCTCAACTCAAGTGTAATTTGAAAACAACCGGCACTGTATCCAAAGTGCCATACGTGGAGCGAAAAGAATTCACGCGATAAAGTAATAACGAAGAGAATGGAAGGTGCCGAAACAGTCCAACTCAAAATCAAGTCTCATGCCGAGTCAGAAGCCAAAGACTAAAAATGAGTTTGAAGACGAGTTTGAAAGATGGGCGGCGGCCAAAGGCTCCATCCCCTCGGAGCCTCCGCTTCATTCTCGGTACCTCTGGTCCGCGGACCCGAGGCAGCGGGCAGGGAGCTCAGAGAGGAACAATGCGGCCAGGCCAGTTCAACTCATGGCACAGTCGGCCTTTTATTTGCCAAGCAATAAATGAAGGATCGTTTTCCTTTTGCTTACTTGATCCACATCTGGTTGAGTATTTTGGCACATCAATTAAAAAAAAACTAAAAACAATCCCAATGAGGTTTTCCAAAAACATTGAAACGCGATGTCGGCCACATCTGGCTATGAAATGTCCCGCTTACGGGTGAAGCTAAGCGACTGTGTATTTGTCGGACAGGAGCTGCATGAGGGCAGCAGAGGATTTCAGCCCAGTTTTCACATCCTGCCGCAGACCTTCAATGCCGTCGCCGGGGTGAATATCCATCTTTGACTTCGCCGTGTGACATTGAGCGCTTTGTTTTATTTCTTTGAATTTGATTTGGAGGGGAACCGGCATCGATTTTGGGGGGAATCGCACTGACGCTTTAGAAGGCCACGTCCTGACAGATTTGCTTCCTTTAAATGATTCCGAACGTGTGTTTGGCCAACCTTGTTTGTCGAAACCCGGGGTCACCGCCGCGGTAGTTCACACGAGTAGACGAAAAACGGAACCACTGGCAGACATGGGTGGAAATGAAGCGTTGCATGTGAGATTTATCCGTTTGCCCATTGCATTAACGTGATTGGTGTGCTTCGCATCAAGGAATATCATGAACGATGCATAAGAACATCAAAAGGTCATTTGAGAAAAGTCGTGATTTCGGAAGTATGTCTCCAACTGCAAAGCAGCGGTGCACCAAACCTATTGCCGAAGGAATCCCTCTCTGAGCGAGGGGATTGTGTTTTGTCCCTGTCAAACAAAAAGGGGAGAATTTTGGATCCAGCTTTGTACATTGCAAATTGGATTCTTCTGTCATCTCCCTTGCTGCGTGTAGCTCCATCTGGTGGCTCTCAACGCTCCGTTGAAAGGAGACATGCGAGGGATCCGCGGGGCCGACTTCCAGTGCTACCAGCAGGCACGGGCCGTGGGGCTGACCGGCACGTACAGGGCCTTCCTGTCCTCGCACCTCCAAGACCTGGCCACCGTTGTGAGGAAGGCAGACCGCGTCCACATGCCTGTGGTCAATCTCAGGGTGAGGACGACGCCTGCGCCGCGCCGCCGTGAGCTTGTGAAAATATGCTCGTTCGTAGAATAACCTGCGATGACTTTTTTCTGTCCTCGCCTATCAGGGCGAATTGCTCTTCAAAAGCTGGATGTCCATCTTCTCGGGAAATGGTGGCACGTTTGACCCTTCCGTCCCCATTTACTCCTTCGATGGACGCGACGTGCTGACTGACTCGACGTGGTGAGTGTGGCCGAAATGGTGGGCACCTGCGGCTTATAGACAGGTGCGGCTTATGTGTGTTTCCAATTTTTTTCCTTTAAAAATGGAGTGGCTGCGGCTAATAATCAGGTGCGCTCTATAGTCCGGAAATTATCCCCGGTGCCGTCAGCTTGTCTCTCTCGCTCCTTTCCAGGCCAGAAAAGCTGATCTGGCACGGTTCCAGCGCTGGAGGAATCCGCGCAACCATAAACTACTGCGAAGCCTGGAGGACCGCCGACGCGGCGGTGACAGGTCAGGCCGCCCTGCTTCAGACTGGACGTCTGTTAGGTCAACACACCCGCTCGTGCGCCAACCACTACATCGTACTGTGTATCGAGAACACGTACGTCGGGAACATACAGCAATGGAGGACCTGAAGGCTGCACGCGAGCGGCATTGCTCAAAATGGGCAGGGTCGATCAATGAAAATAATCATCAGGGCGCTGCTCTTTGACTTTGTGATTGGGATCAAGTTCATGCGCAAACGCTGAATTGTTTCAAATCCATTTGCGGTCACCCTTTTCCAATTTTTTTCAGTGGCATCCAAACCGAACTTTGACACAGCAACATGAAAACAACAAAAATCCAGGTCTAAACTAAACTTTCCTGTGTGCATGGACAACATCAGGGAAAATAATTGTGATTCAAATAGAAATGTGTACATTAAAGACAGTAAGTGAATGGAACTACATGAAAATCACTCGCCGAGAATATTCACCACCAGGCATGCCGGGTAACAGAAGACATGCCCAAGTGATTAACGTTGAGGAAAAAAAACTGTTGCCCCTGCTGAATATCCATTTTATTTCACGATATTCAAACCGTTCAGTCTCAATCTCCACTTTGTTTTAGTATTTGCATCACAATTCGTTTGAGATTTGTATTAATTTATACCGTAAAGAACATATATGATAGAAGTTTAGCGAGTTCACTTATAAATCTTGATGAAAGTAAATTGTTTGTGCATGTGTGTGTTGATCGTGTATAAATAGCATTTTTTTACTCAATAGAGTTGGTCAGTTTTGTATGGGCACGAATAATGGCTTGTTTTCTTCACTCAGCAAGTACTAGCGGTGGCGTCCTTCGAGTGTCGTGTCTGGACCGCGTAAACTTGCATTAACAAATGTTATTTTCCGTCATGTCTGATTTTTGTGTTCCAACAAAACTTGAGCTTCTGAGGTCATGAGAACATTTGTACTGACTGACTGATTGTCACTGAATAAATACCTAATTATTGTTTTTACAAATTCTGTCTCCTTTATCTTTGAGTTGGCATGAACATTTGCAGGCATAGCACGCGGTACGCCGTGTTAACGGGTGACCGATGACGTCAAAAAAAAACGGTCCGTTCATAGTTGACAAAAGGACTTGGACGAGGTTACACCCCCCACGCCCCCACCATAGCGCTGCAAGAGGACTGGACCACCCCTGAGTGTTCTGGGACGGGGGAGAGGCGGACGGAAGCGCCCACTGCATGTGGAGAACGCTGCGTGCTTTCATCTCAGTGACTCCAATAACACCAGAAAAAGACGTTCGATTTCTCGCTAGTCACTTTTTTGAAAGAAAAAAAAATCTGCTGAATGGTGTCTGACAATTTAGAGCAAACAATTCACTCATTGGACAGATAAGACGTGACTCTTTTTGACCATTCTCTTCTTTATTTAAAGTGATGTGCAGATGAGACGACGTGTCATGCATTTCCAACTGCGAGGAGTGACGCAAGTCATCGGTGTAAGTTCATGAGCCGGATCTCGTCCACTCGATTTCGGTGCAGCTGAAAAGAAGGCGTGATCCAGCGGCCGCATGAGCATTGATCTCCGCACCAGCTGAACGAGCCCAGCTTGGATCGGCATTTGGGACACAGCAGCTGCAAACCAAAAGCGAACCCGAGGGAAATATTTTGTGTCACGCAGAGAGAGCAGCCAAAGGTGATATACGGTACCTGTCCATCCATCACGCCAAGTAACGCTTGTTCCATCCACTGCACTGGTTCAATGAAATAGGATGTACACTGGACTCCTTCTATACAAAGATCAACAATTTCGACTTGCGGTTAGAATAGTTTGGGGTTCTTTGTTTTAATTTCATTTTGACTTTTTTTTTTTTACTGAGTTTTAATTTGTTTTTAGAGCAGGTTTGCTAGTTGTTATTTTCATTATTAGCATAGGATTAGCATGAGTTGTTGGCCCATTTTGTTGAGTGCAAGAAAAAAAAAGAAAAAAACTGACTAATTCCAAGCAACTGCATTTAAGAAACAAAAGTCAAAATGGAATCAAAAACAAACTGTAATGAAAAATCCGATCCTATTAGAAGCCCTCGGTGAGAGCGCTTGTCTACTGACCAGTCAGGTTGGAGGACTTTTTATGGCTGAATGCTGACGCTCCTTCTCCCACTGGGTGACTGAGGAGACTGGAGCTGCGGAACAGAGTTCGTCTGCAAAGTAGAAAAACAAGTATTGTTTGTGAGTATTTTTCCAAAAGGGAGGAGGAAACTGAGGGCGCAATCTGCTGAACAACATTTGCTGGATTTACACAGCCAGTGACGCGCCCCATTCTGAATCCGATGTCTCTTCCCCCAACTAATGTAAATAAGGGTAACCGTCACATTCCCTTCGCGAGCTGCCGTCTTCAGTCAGGTTGCTTATTTAATACTCAACCCACCTCTACTCTCCATCCACCCATTTTCTAATCCGCTTCTGATCATGAGGGTCGCGGGGAGTGCCGGAGCCTAACCCAGCCATCTTCGGGCAGTAGGTGGGGGACATCCCGAACCGGTTGCCAGCCAATCACAAGGCACACATAGACGAATGTCCATTTGCCCCTTGCCTTTCCATTTATGTGAGTTGTGCGACAGCAAAAAAAAAACCTCAACAAATCTGAATTGTCACTTGAACCACATCGTGTAAATCCAGCCTAAAGAAATGAGACGTTCGACACAAAGGCAAAAACAGTTACCGGCACTTCCTGCAACGATAGGAGGCCTCAGATGAGTTGGATTGAGCGGGGTCAGCTGCAAACACTTCCCTTGGAACCAGCTGCAACTCTATGCAGAAAGCACAGTAGAAATGAAGAAAATACCGAAAATGCACTTGTTTGCGTGTGTGTGTGTGTGCGCGCGCGTGCGTTTACCAGGGTATTTCTCGGTAATCTTTGTCAATCTGTATTGTTTGTACAGTGGATCGCTGGTGTCCACTTGACAACGCAAGGCCTCGTACAGACACAACTGCTCCTCGAAACCGCTGTTGACCCTGAAACGCGCAACCCCCTCACCCATCACATTTCTTTCCACATGGCCAGGTGATATTGCTCATCACTGCATCGAGAAGCAGGGCGAGACACTTACTGCACATCCCGCTTGACACTCTTCAGTTTGTGATAAGCCTCAGCAAAGCCCAATTTGTGTCTCCTCATGAGGTAAGCGGTCACAACGGTGGCGCTGCGACTCCGGCCAGCCTGACTGAAGCACAAACACTTTCAGGGATCACTTCTTTGCTGGTGTTTGATCCCCCAGCCGTACATGGAAGTGATCGAGTCAACACAGACGGTACGTATACACACGGAACATTGACATCATTGAGCCCGGGCCGCAAGAGGACCGGTCATGGATGACATTGCCCCTTACCAGTGGACGAGTGCCGCCCCGCCTCCGTCAACTGCCTCCTGGATGAAGAGGCAGCAATCATCCAGGTGGCTCAAGAGGTCCGACGTCACCTCATCCAGGATGTTAATCCATTTCTTGCGATAGCGAGAGTCCACGGGCAGGAGAGGCGCCGGGTCCACGGAGTCCACAGAAACGATGTGAGTGATGCCGGCTTCTGCCAACCCCGGAATGTCCTTAAGGTCGGCCGCCGTTCCAATGAACACACCGGGATCCACCGGGAGCATGACAAACACTGGCGTGACGGGTACGGCCTGAACAGACGTCCGGGTAAAACATACGCGTTAAAAGGTTCTGACTGTACAAGTTCCCATGTGACCGTCTTGTCAGAGTTATGGCTCAAACTCCGAGATGCGACTCGAAGGAAGTTAAAAATCCAGACTGAAATTTTTCACAATTTCAAGTAGTGTTCATCAGTCTGCAATGATATGCCCGTGAGTGACAGCGGGACCAATGCTGACAAAACTTCCGTTGCCAGGACGGCGCATAGATGAAGAAAAGCATCGCTTTATTTTTTTATTTATCAAGCCATCCGCATGTCGGCTGATAAATTCATGTGAGTCCAAACTAGTTAAGCCCCTCCGGCACTTTATTTGATATTCTAAGACACATTTATCAATTATTTTCTCAGCTCCTTTATGTCTCAGGCAAACACCCCCTTTAGCCCCGGAATAGGGGAAAAAAAACACTTATCCCACGGGTCCTTAAAGTCAATAAAAATCCTTAAAAAAAGTTGTAAAATTATGTTAATTGTGCTTAATTTTCAGGGAAAGCTTCTAAAATCAATAAAAATCCTTAAAAATTAACCTGTGGTGTTCATTTCATTTGTGTATGGGCCGAATAAACGACCATGTATAGTAAAGCATTTTGGGCCGAAAAAAACGACCAAGTATAGTAAGGCATTTTTAGCTCCCAAAAAAAACCGATCATGTATAGTTAGGCGTTTTTTTGGCGAAAAAAATGACCATGTATAGTGAGGCATTTTGGGCCGAAAAAAAACGACCATGAATAGTAAAGCATTTTTTGCCGAAAAAAACGACCATGTATAGTAAGGCGTTTTTGCCGAAAAAAACGACCATGTATAGTAAGGCGTTTTTGCCGAAAAAAACGACCATGTATAGTAAGGCGTTTTTGCCGAAAAAAACGACCATGTATAGTAAGGCGTTTTTAGCCGAAAAAAAGACCATCTATAGAAAGGCGTTTTTAGCCGAAAAAAACGACCATGAACAGTAAGGCGTTTTGGGCCGAAAAAAACGGCTATGTATAGTAAGGCGTTTTTAGCCGAAAAAAAATGACCATGTATAGGAAGGCGTTTTGGGCCAAAAAAAAATGACCATGTATATAGTAAAGCGTTTTGGGCCGAAAAAAAACGACCGTGCATAGTAAGGCGTTTTGGGCCACAAAAAACGACCATGTATAGTAAGGCGATTTCAGACGAAAAAAACGACCATGTATAGTAAGCCGTTTTTAGCCAAAAAAACGACCACCTATAGTAAGATGTTTTTTGCCGAAAAAAACGACCATGTATAGTAAGG